GGGGAGCAATTTCTTTCTTCTTACCTACTAGAACTGCTCTACTTTTAGTGCTATTTTTACTTTATTATTCTGTCATAACCTGTAGGTACGGTTGTTGAAAACATGAGGTGGGACAAAAAATATGTTGTCTATTCTGATAGATACACGGTTAGACTGGGACCTCGACGATATATGACTCAGATGTACCCGTCCTATATATGTTTTTCCTATTTTTGAGTCTTTTTTTATTTTAGAAAAATAATGTTCCGTGTCTCGTGTCAGATAATATAGTTATCAGGTAGTTATCAGATCACATGATCTATCTCCGAGAGAAAATATAAACGCCATGGAGAGTGTCCAGCGTCGTCTTTGGGTTCCTGCTGTACCAAGGAATCGTGCAGACGTCCTGTTGTGTACCAGTGTGCAAGATGCGTGTCCTCCTGTGTCTGTCGCTGCTGCTTGCAGTCTCCACTCTTGGCGTGTCCGCCAGGAAGAACTGGGCGCTGCTCATTGCCGGCTCTGCTTCTTATATGAACTACCGTCACCAGGCTGATATCTGCCATGCCTATCAGGTAAATATTCAGGGTGTTTCTACTGACCTAAAATCCAGCTTTTTCCGAACATCACAACCTTGAAACTACATAATATTTTAAAAAACCAAGCTGTGAGAATCGTGTTTAAAATGGGGAAAGAAAGACTATCCACTTTCTCCCAACATATAAAAAATGCTTACAAGATTGCTATCCTTTGCCATAAGATGTGTTTACAATAAATCACCCTCGTATTTAATCAAGGGATCTGGAGATTAGTTTCTCATGAAAACACCTCGGACAGGAGGTCAAACGCATGCTGGAAAGTCCTTTTCTCATATTGCTGCATCTATACAGAACTCTTTCTCATTACATTGGGGGGATACAGAGTCGGAAGCCCTGCTCTAATGACCATCTGTTTAAGACAATCAACCAATACTTACGACCATTCCCACCCATCTCCTATTTTTGCATTATTTGAAAGAAGAAGAAGAATTTATCTATTATTATTGTTAGTAGTAGTAGTAGTAGTAGTAGTAGTAGTAGT